ATGGTTAAAGCATGCAGCAAACTCTAGAGGAGGTCAAAACGTGAGAAAATAGTAATCAGATTCTAGTATTTAAAAATGTGTCTCACACTTTGAGACTAATAGCTGAATGTGAAAGCTACTTGGTGAGTTGATATCAAGGTTTGAAATTTAAAAGACTGACTAAATAGTGAGAGTATAGTAGTCTTAGAGAAGGAGTAGGTATTGGCAGTAGTTTACAAATCAACGTGACATTCTTTTTATGTTTGTTAAACAACACAAGGTTGACGTCCAATGACTTTTTGGTAGCTACATAATATATGAGTTCCATTTGTTAAGAAATGGAATCAACAGAATATACAAATCTTTTACGATTAATATTCAACAATAAAAGTCAATTCTGCAAATACAATAGTATAGTGTAGTTTGGTTTTTTATGTTATCATTGCAAAGTAAGTTATATGGTTCAATAATCTGTCCACAAATATTGGTCTAATTGATAAAATACTTGGATTAGACCCAAATATGACAAACTGCTCCCCAAATACTTAAAAACCTTACAACACTCATAGACTATATTACCTATATATCGCTCAATAAATTAAATTACCATTAAATAATTATAAATATATTTTAAAGATAATGTCTTTCATCCAGTCATGATTAATTCAAAACAGATTTGGAGGAGCTATTAGTTTACAACAGTAAACGATTCAACACTTGTGACTGTGGTTTAAGATTTCAAAACAATAGAATACTTACTGCAAAAATATTTGCTGACCTATGTAGACTATGCCATGATTTGAGATGGTCGGTCTAATTTTCTCAATTGTTAATCTAGTAATGTTTTATCATGCTTGTAGTACAATTAAAGTCTAAAGAGAGTTTATCTATGCAATAAACAAGTTATTAATTTGAAACAGATTGGAATAGCTAGTAGTTTACAAACGATTCGTCACTTGTCTGGTTTAAGATTTCACAACAGTAGAATGCTTGATGTGCAAATATTTGCTGATCTGTCTACACCATCTGAGATGTCGGTCTAATTCTCTCAATTGTTAGACTAGTAATTTCAAATGTTTTCTATAGTGTACAACTACAATAGCATCAGTCTTTATCTATGCAAATATCTTAAATTAGATCAACTTATCAAGTTATCCTTTTGGTTATCAACCAAATCAAAACATTGAGGTATATGGTGACAGTGTACAACAGTAAAATGCTCACTGGACAAATATTTGCTGATCAATGGAATAGTAGACCCTTGTAGATATTTGTAAGCTGTCATCTTTATAGAAATGTATCTCATTCTTTGGCTATTCAAAAGAAATGACTGATTCATGTCACATTTAACCAGTCCACATTTAACTATTTGAAATGTTCTTGGGAGTTTACCATGTTTTTAAGCCATATGTCATATATACGCAATCATCTAATACTCTTTCTTTTAGGGCTCAAACTAGATGCCAATCCTACTAACACCTTAATACCTCTCAAGTGGTCAAATTATTATCTAGACAAGAAATAACCTAAGAAGCAAACAGATACCCTATACAGCTTGTAGAAGCTCTTAGTTAATCACTCCAATAGGTGTAGAAGACCCCTAATATAGAGGTTGATTCATTTAGGTATCTCAAGTTCTAAATTAGTATCTACAGAAGAATTAAACCTAAAAAGCAAACAGATAACCTATACAGCTTGTAGAAGCCCTTAATCACTCCAATAGGTGTAGGGGTTGATTCATACCCCTAATTACAGCCTATTATAGGGGGGAGGTTTATTATATGAAACATATATAAAAATCATTCTGTTCAGTCCAGTGTGGAGAGAAGACACAAGATGAGATAAGACACATCTTGATAAGACACGATAAAGCACTTTTCCCAGACACTGGACTGAACAGTAGGATTTTCTCCTGTTTGGTTCTCTGCCCAAGCCTGCAGAGGCTATTTTAAGCTGTATTTAAGGGTTGTAGAGGTATTCTATGGTGTCCCAGACAACTTATAAAGGTTAATCCAGCTGAAGGATTAGCTAAAACAGCTGAAGAATCAGTTAAAACAGCTTAAATTCAGTAAAAAACAGCTGGAGAAACAGTTAAAACATGCCTTACAGCGTTTAAGGTCTAGTATAATAGGTCTATGGCTATTTAATGCAACTCCTAAGGCTTAAAGGTCAAAGTATTTGAGCTCTTGTGTAGTTTTTGATGGATAACACAAGTCTGATTAAGAGTTTGACAGGTATTGGCTCAATAGAGTAGGTTACAAGAATTCAACTTTTTAACGCTTAAATATTCTCTTAATGACTAACTCTATGGAATTTAAAGTGTGTACACCAGTCTGACGTAGTGTATAGAATGTATAAGTGTAATCAGATGTAGTTTATCACCATAGGTTAGAGTATATGGAGTGGTGAGGCATACAACAGATTTGAGAGTTGAAACTGACTAAAAAACTCTTTAACACCTCAATTAATAGATGAGAGATACTTCTAAAGGCTTGAATGTAATATGTATAGCTCAGAAATCCACCATAGAACATAAATGTGGAGGTAAAACCTCACTGTGCAAGTATTTGTCACTTTGAGAGTAGATTTCTAATGGTAGAGTGTGAATTTTATTGATTTTTAGACCTCAATAATAGTAGTTAAAGTCATATCATGGTAAATTGCATTGTCTACCCTCATATAACTGTTGTAAGCAACATACTGTATGAGTATATGGTGAAAAAACCTTTGGTTTTAATGTTAAATCTATGTGCAGGGCCAAAACAGAGCTAAATTCTGAGTACTCGTAGATTTCTTCCGAAGCATACTGTTTTGGCCCTATCTCAGTTATTTATCGACCGAATGTAACCGTTTTGGCTTTAAAAGTTGGGTGTTTATATGGGGTTTTGAGTATAATACATCCCATCAGTTAAAATAATTTCATTGATGATCTACACTCTAAGTTAGGCCTGTTAAAATGACAATTTCTTACCGAGTATACTAAAGTTGCAAATGTTCAACGATTGTAGACTATTGACTTTAATAACTGTTAATTTATCATGATAATTAGTTGATTTTATGTGTTATTCACTTCAAATTATGTTACAACCTCTGGGTTTTCTTTGTCTTTGGAATTTATCAATAACAGTTTGAACGCTGGAACTAAGCCTTACGATTGACTACAAGATTGGAAAATTTACATTTAGATCTGATTATTACAGATGGTGACAGCTTTTATAGCTTAGTAAAACTATTTATTTAATGTATTTAGACAGTTTAGAAGCCTAGCTAACCAACTTAACCTAACAAACAATGTTTTAGTCAGCCACCAATTTTATCACTTGTAGGCTACTAGAGTAACTTTAAACGTTGAAATACTCATATTTGGAGGTTAATTAACAACTTTTGAGGCTAATTACAGTTAAAAATCTGTCATTAAAGGCCTAAACAGATCAAATAATTGAACCCTAGCATTGGTGTTTTTCATAATTCACTTCTATGTGTGAAGATCAAGTCATAACTCAATATTATACTACATTATACTAATAATTACACATTCAAGTATTGAACTTTGGATAATAACTCCTATTTAAATAAAAGGAAAGGATTATAATGGTTTAAACACTTTATTAAGTATCAAAATACTGTCACAAAAGGTAGCAGACGGTGAACAGTAGCAGACTAATTTCAGACTCCAGTTCTCAAACCAGTTGTTAAAAAATTGAATGCAAAACAGCTGTTGAATCAGGTTGACCAAAATAGAATAAAATATTCCACTCGGTGGGAGGTGGTTGTATAGTGTGAATGTATATAATAAACTTTTTAGCTTAAAAATCTTTGAAAACAACTACTAGAGTATGCGCTTGTATTAAGCGCATACGGTAAAATTATTACCGTAACAGGATTTAATACCAAAACTCTTACACTTTTATATGTATATATCTAGCTTTAAAACCTTTTCAACAGTATAAATGATATTTAACTGTAATTCTAAGACGATTGGAAACTGCTGTAGGCTACTATTAAACAGTTGTATACGTCAGAGAAGATTCAACACGGTGGTATTTCTCAAGACTGCTGAATTGACAAACTACTGACGTACTAAAGCTGCTGACATATGTTCGATTTGACTATAGCCCGTTTCACTTGACTTGGAGGCTGTAAAACCATTTCTACACCTCAAAAAGCTCTTTATAAGCTCTGAAACAGCTCCAAAACAGCTTAATAGCCTCTGCAAGCTTGGGCAGAGAACCAAACAGGAGAAAATCCTACTGTTCAGTCCAGTGTGTGGGAAAAGTGCTTTATCGTGTCTTATCAAGATGTGTCTTATCTCATCTTGTGTCTTCTCCCCACACTGGACTGAACAGAATGATTTTTATATTTACCACCAATATATATATACAAGTATAAAAATCATTCTGTTCAGTCCAGTGTGGAGATTTCACATTGCATTTTGCTTGGTTATGGATATATTTTGTCCAAACTTGGCAAATCTATTTATTTCATACTAAGCTAAAATTATTTTACTAAAAAACACACTTACCCTCCCTGTAGCAGCAAACTTAGGTACTGGTTAACGTTATTGAAATAGATTTAATTGAAAATCAAATCTGGTAAATGGAAATTCGCTTAGTCTGCAGGTTTGCTGCGGCGGGGGTATTTGTGTCTTAATGTGTGTATGAATGACTGCATGACTGCTCTATAATAACCTTTTCTATTTAGCGAACAGCAGACCTGTAACATCTTGTTTTGAGATCTCTATTAAAGTTCAAAAGACGATTCGTTCCAAAAGACAAGTGTAACAAGTTTGTTGCTGCTTACGCAAGCAGGGGATGTTTGACTATGGTTTGCATTTTTCAAAATTTTGGTATGTTATTAGTTTGTTAGGTAAAACAAATAAACTGTTAGGGCTAACAGATTTGCTGATTTTTACCATTCATAAAAGATGGTTTTCTTTGGTAATGGAAAATAATATAAAATTTATCGTGCATACAAATCTGTTAATAAATGCTCAGAATTAGTAAGAACTAGTGTGTTGACAGGGGTCGTGGAGGTCAAGGTCGTGGAGGTCGAGGCCCCCCACCTACCAGAGAAGAGCTTGACAGTCAGTTGGATCAGTACATGGCCAGTTCCCGCGGAGTTCTAGATCAGGACCTTGACTCATACATGACTGGTCAGCAGGAGGAATCATGGGACTAATCACATTTTACATTTTTGAGAAAACGTAAGATATTGTTACGAATTTATGACTTAAGTATTTTGTACAGTAGTGTCGTGTTGTAGTTTTTATTTTTATTTAAATATAAGAAAGATTGTAAATAAAGCTGTTCCGTGTGAAAATGTATGTTTTATTTTTATCATATTTCCTGTAGGGAATTATCTACTACGGTACTGTAGTCTTTATATGAAGAACAAGCCCAAGGTCTGGGGCCACCAAGCTTTGTCTCAGATTTTGGTTTGGGTTTGAACTCAAAAATGCTGTTTTTTTACAGTTTAATAGAAATTCTTCCCAATATAAAAAATTTAGAAATGATATGTATGTATGTTCAAATATGTTATACATGATACATAACATAATTATTAGGGGTGGGGGTGGGCGAGTAGTGATTTTCAAATTCAAGTCGAGTATTTGAGTAAAAACTCAAGTATCGAGTCGAGTCCAGTAGTTGTGCTTAAAGTAGGCCTAGGCAAGTGAAATGGTTACTAACTATTAGTAATTTACTAGTGCACTAGTGCTATTACAAATTTTGGGCTAGCCTGCAGTTTTGCAACAAATTTTGGTTTTGTTGGCTGCAGCATTAAATTTACACATCACTTGTTATTGTGTTTTATTTATACTTACCTTTTCTTCCTATACTCACTAACACGTTAATCAACCTGGGTAATTCTAACTTTTGAATAATTTCTATTGAATAAAGAAATAGAATTCGTAAAAATAAATTTATTTATAAAACAGATGAGTTGATATAACAAAATTTATCTTAAGTTAAAAACCTCAATATGCAATAAGGTATTTTAAAATAATCACATGGAATAAAGTGCTGCCTTAAGTTTGAAGGTTATGGGTACCTACTAGGGCTATCCTCTTTACTCATTATATTTTATAAGATAAGTCACTTGTTTCTGACAGACTAAAAATATCAAAAGAAAAACGTAGTATTATCTTGAAATAAAAATCCCACATTAAACTCTCTTAGTTTAAAATTAAAACACATTTCGCTGTAGCCGGGTATAGCCTAGGCTATTGGCCCTTACCAACTCACCACTTTACTTTCTAGGTTATGTTACAATCCAACTTCAATCAAACTTCTCATGTCTTATCCTGAATGGTATTAGTTATGTTCTTTTAAGCTAAAAGAATTTGGCGGTAAAATATCTATTTAGAGCTGCCACCAGAATGAAAATTGCTCATCAAAATTACAAACATATGATTATTTAATCGACTTCCCCACTGCCAACAACAGGAGGAGCTTCTCAATTTGTTTGTGGCGATGTTTTTTTTTATGTATGTTCACCAATTTCTCTGTGATTCTTTTACCGATCAGTGTGGTTCCACCACCAAAATAACCAGGAGAGTTTCTATTTGGTCCCATATATATATTATGTTTAAAGTGTAATATTTATGTCGGTGAAAAATGCTGAAAACCACAAATATTCAACATTTATTTTGTTTATATTTGTGCAGAGAAGGCAATAATAATAACATTCCTACAGCTGTAAGTTGAAACCATTTAAATTAAGCTACGGTCATGGATGTATAATAACTCCCTGGATTGCACGCTAAGGTTGAAGTAGGGCTCGAAAAACGGTCCACCGCTGCCTCGCTCTGACCGCGAGGAGTGGGGATAAAGGCATGAGTCACCCTAGTGGTGAGCGTCGCGCCCGCTCTAGCCGCGTATTGTTATGTTAGTTTTGTGGAAATATTACGAGTAAAATTTATTATAACGAACTTAAGGAGGTTTGTAAACAGATATAATTAATCTAATCACTTGCTCACACTTTACAGACATCAAAAGTAAATCTCAGAAGAAATTTAGTGATGTTATGAAAGAGCTAGATTTCTATTTGAACATTCGTCAGAACAAAATATCACAATAATTATTCTATCACATAAGCATGTCATCATTTGCTGCTGTGAGCCCAAATTTTATTATTATTGAGAGACTTAGCAACATGTAAGAAAATACATCTTGGTTGAATTACAGTATGTTTCTTTGTCATACGTGTTTGTAAAATATATTATACTAGGTGAAACCCGTCGAAATCGACGGTTACTTTCAAGGCTTACGTTAATTCATCTAACTGCGATAAATTGGGTTAAATATACATATTTTGAGCATTTAGCATTGTTTAAAAGGTAATACGTGAAAAACAATAATGATTTTAATTACGCTAGTTGCCAAATTTGGTTTATCATTCAATGAATAAAATATTCCCCATACCTTACGACATAGGAGTTATTATTAGTATGTTATATGGTATCTCTTCCTTTAGAAGAACCTTTAAATAGTATTAAAATCGTATTGGTGGATCTTTTGTAGTTAAACACTACCGTAATTTCATCAGTGTAACATGATTGTATTTCAAAAGAAAATATTTTTGGGAAGACATATTCTAACTTCAAAGGGAGGCATATCCGTTACAGTGTAAGTTTGATTTTTCCTTCATCACGTCGCGTCAGTTCATATCGTAGCCTACTTCTGTGCCAATGAGTGAACCCTCTAGCATAGTTTTGAGAAATTGATTGTGGGGTTACTGTTAAAACTGGAATTTCTTGACATGGGGGATGTCAGTTTGTTTTCTCAGCCTTATCAATAACATAAAGTTGTCAATATAATCTCTCTACGGAATGCTAGGTGTAGTGGAATACTTGAAGTGAAGTTGGCTTTTATTCTTGAACTGTAAGGGGCCTCCTAGTTCATATGGTCTTGCGGCTTCGTTGGCAACAAATAATGCAAATGACATAGCAATGGGACATTTCCAAAAAGCAAAAACACTAATTTGGCTGTTACATATATATATATATATATATATATATTGACGTTTACATATTGTTAATCAACGTATCTTATAAAGAATTATGTGATCTAGTTTAAAAGGAATATGACATTTCTGTCATGACAGTAGCTGCTTAAATAGTATTACCTCTTTGTACCATATTTTACAGCCAAAATGTCATGTTATTTTTAATAATGTTACCAAACCACTACACCAAAGTCCGTAATATAGGCAGGTGCAAATAATTATTCAAGATGGGTACCATTTTAGGCAAGTTTTGTATGTTTGGATTTTATTAGACACGATAAGAGCAGATATTTCTACATAAATATTTGATATGTGTAGAGAAATATGATAAAATGTATTTAAAAGTAGTGAAAAAGGCAGACACCAACCCGTACAATAGATATAAGATAGTTCAATAAGAAATAATTTAAGAATTGCTGTGACAAAAAGGATTTTCTACTGATTTCGTAATGGAACGTTATATCGCAAAACATGACATGATAAAGAAGAAAATCAATTTTAAAATCAGAAAATAACATTGAAAATACTTATTTGCTAGGATTCAGTAAACTCCCAATAAATGTGTGTTGTTTGAAATACAATTAAAAAATGAACAGCTGTTTCATTAAAAAGTATTATTCACATGGCCAAAATGTAAACAACTCTGTGGAAGGATTTTTATGGCTTCTGGGGCAGAGTCCTAAGGGATTTTGCTTAGTTTTTCTTTTGATAACTCATCTACAGACCAAGACCTTTCTTTAGACACCTCTACCAAGTTTCTACGCCCAGCCGTTCTCTCAAATTAGTGGGGACAAAGTTTCCAATTAAATATTTAGATTCCCCCATGTTAATCTTGCGGGAGAAACTCCAACTTTGATGGCCTGTGGGGCAAAGCCCGAGGACTTTTATTACAGGAATTGTTGAAAGGGGGCGTCTACACAAAAAATACTTTATTTTGACACGTCGTTTGTAAAAATCCGTCCATTATTAACGGAGGAGTAGTGTTTCGTAGAAATCGCCTTCACGTATTATATATTGTATAATATTTTATGCCAATATCTCCAATTCATTGATTATTCTCAGGAAAGTAAAATAATTTACAAAATATTTTTTTCAGATTAATATTAAATACTACTGTGAATCCAAAATGTATTCTTTGATTCAAAAATTTTTTTAAACTGTAGACTACGGTAAGCAATAAAATTCATAAACATACGCTTGTAAATTTAGTTACCCATCCTTCGTAATGTAATGACATATTTAATGTGTATAATGATAATTAAATTCCAGAAACTCAGTATCTAAATCCCGTAAACTGATGCCCAGCCGGCCAAACTCCTAGCGCCAATGCCGCGCCAAGCGATTTTATGCTTACTTTTAATCGCTTAAAAATTATAGAAGCAAACTCCGTATCAGGAATCTGACTCAAGTTAGGTCATTCCCATTGTCACATGAAGCGGTTAGAGATTTTGAAAATCTGAAGCTAGATAGCCAATGCACTTATTAATCCAAGAGATGGACAAGAACCGCTAGTGGTGGAAACAGACGCTTTAGATGTAGCTCTTGCAGCAACCTTAAGTCAAAATAATAGACCGATAGCTTTTTTCTCCAGGACTTTAAATAAATCTGAGAAATTGTATCCGGCAGTTGAAAAGGAAGCCGCTGCAATCGTTGAAGCCCTAAGAAAATAGAAACCATTCCTCATTGGAAGAGTTTTCAAACTGTATACAAGATACAAGAATACTTTATTTGCAATCTTTAAGATTGAAAGGGCGTCAATACAGTTGTGCAGTTGTTATATAAATCAAATACAAATCAGTTGTCAATACAAATTGTTATTTTTTAAGAATAAAAAATAGCTTATCAGAGTTCTTGCAGTGAAGACATGATTTATTCAAGTTCTTGCCAAGACAAATACTCATCCAGACTATAAAATGGTCTATGTAACAGCCAGCACTTTAGTTCTTTCTTCAGTTTTCTGGGCTGAAGAGACTTCAAGTGGACGGGAAGGACGTTAAAAAACTTGGCATGCATGTATGAGGGTTTCTCTTCTTAGAGCCTTGTGTTGTGAGCAGGAAGGTTGTAATCATTTCTTCGTCTTGTGTTGTATGAGTGCACCTCCTGGTGACGACAGACCCGGGAAGAGTCGACAATGGTAAGAGTCCGTAGTATGAAGAGGTTGACTACGGTCTGATGTATCATAGGTATACCCCCACCAGGTAACCGATAGCCGTACTCAGATAGTTGGCCATTCCTGTCTGGGCCGTCTAAATATCAACAATGTTTGTCTCTGGCGTTACCTAATAAAGTTCATTTATTCAGTTTCAAATGAGAGT